CTGTGTGTCTCCCAGGTGGGGCTGCTGGTGCAGAATAATCACTGTGTGTCTCCTTCTTTTTTTAATTTACTGTGGACTATTCCCCTTTTTGAAGCTGTTTGAGAGATACAGAGGGAGCTGGACTAGGATAGATCTCCTTTATCACTGTCTCAGGCTACGCTTACACATCCATCACACCACATCCATTCTTCCAGTGTGTGTGGTTTTCTTTTTTTTGTTTTAAAAAGTATTGGTTGTAGGTTGTACCAAAATATCACAGTAATTCTAAAGAATGTCTTTGTGCTGTGATTTGTCAAGAGAGGAAAGAAAGGATATTGAAACTTCCACACTGGGAATCATGCTCTGGTGACAGGCTGGAGCACATGGAGGCACAGGAGCCTGTATTGTGGGGTACCTGGCAACTCTCCCTCGCAGGTCTCCAATTCCCGCAAGATTCTTGTGATCCAGACTCTGGACCGCAAAGCTGGTTCCTGACGAAACGCTGTCTCTCTGGAGGATCTGTCCTTCCAGTACCTGAAGGGAAGAGCAAGGCAGCTGTGCGTCACTCCTGGCCGGTTGGTGATAATATAATAATAGTTCCTTCCAATAATAGTTGCTTTCATCCCCAAGGATCTTAAAGTGCTTTACAATGAACTGAGGTGCAGCCCCTACCTGGGTGACACACATCAGCCTTCCTGCAGACAAGTGAGGGGCAGGTGAAGTAAAGGGGGCTTTAGGGAAATCAGATTGTACAAGAGTAGAGTGGAGTTTTGCAGGACATCAGGGTCAGTACCCCTACTCTTAAACTTAATATCTATGTCCTTGGTTTAATGTCTCTGCACTACCTAGACCACAGTGTGTCTCGTCACCATGGTGGGGAAGAGATTTGGAAATTCTGGAGTGAAGAGCACCACCTGCTGGTCCACCACCACCACTTAGTGTAGCAGAGAGCAAGTTTTCCTTAGAGATCAACCATCCCCCTACTTACCAGGCCCAAGCTTGTTTAGTTTAGGAGATTTTACAAGATGAGGCTACAAGATGGCAATATTGTTGCCTACAGTTAATAGATTTAAATAGAGTGTCTCAGGTATAACACTGTTAATGACTTTTCTGTAAAAGTACAGTATCTTTTTCTTGCAATGTACACACAATCAGGTTTCTTTTTTCATCTACTTAGACAAACACATTAATTGAGTTATTGTGCATTAAGGATTACACATCATGGAAATTATGGAACCTTGCTCTTTAATTTTTGTAATTGTATATAGTTCTTAGAGTATGAGTGTTATTATAATAGAACATGGAAAAATATACAGCTTTGGAGCTGCTCCTTTAGAGGTGTAGAGGAGTGGTTATGGTTTTGGATATGTATCTGAGAGGTTGTGGGTTCTAATCCCTGGTTTAACACTGCTCTACTCAGATTGCGTCAGTAAAATATACAGCTGCATAAACGGATAGGTATCTTTCTGTTTTTCAGCCAAATTAATTGTTGAAACAGTTTTAAAAGGATGTGCTTAATTTAGTTGGAGAAGATTGTGATAGAAGTATATAAATTGCCATGTGCTTTGTGAAGGGCATCACGGGGGTACTGTTCAGCAGCAGTGTGGATCCTGAAGAGGTGACTCATCCAGGAAGAAATCCTAACAGATTAAAATCCAAAAAAACAACTGAGAGTGGGAAGAACCACAATAAGGCCCAGCAGCAAAATGGTAAAATTGTATTAAAGGCTTTCTGTGAGTCAGCATGGTGAAGAATTCAGGGCATTTTTTGCTTTGATTTTTCCATATGAAATAACTATTGAGCAGATGGGCATTTTGTAAAGATATCCTTGGTATTAATTGAAGTATTCAGTCTTTTATAAATTACTCCTATGATAGAAATGTCTGTCCAAATGGCAAACTACTGTATATAAAGGTGACAGGGATGTCATTAAAACTGGTCTTACAGGCCCTGTAGGAAGATTTCTTGGGTAGAAACAATCAGCAGCCAGTTTCAGAGCACAGGAAGCCCTGTCCCTCCCCTGGCAGGTTTCAAGCTCTCTCCCATTCACTCACTCCCCAAGAGAACTAGAGGGGTAGATATTGAAGTGACCGTCTGGCGAGTGTGTGTAAATCTACTCTAAAAATGATCTAGTCCTGCTGGGAGAACCCTGCTCTGTGGGGCTCTTGCACGAGGAGATAAGAATCTACATGTTTAGGGAGAAAGGAATGTGACTGTGAGGAAGGCAGTTCGGACCCTGCGCCCGTCACAGGGTGGCTAACGTTGAGAGGACTGCAGAGCTCTGCTCTGTTCAAGGCCCTGGGTGCAGAGAGGGTGCAAACAGTGTCTGCTAAACGGCCCTGTTGATGAGTGTATGCTGATGTGCTCTTGTACAAGAATGTCCCCCCAGCATCTGCTTCACCTCGATGTCCTTGCTGAGCTGCTTGACAATGTGGGTGATGGTGTGGATGTGGCTCTCCAGCAGCCTGCGCGAGGTGGCCTCACTGACCGAGGCGCCCTGGCTGGCACGCAGGTTGGCAAGGATGTCCTCCTTGATGCGGAAGGCCTGCTCCAGCAGCACGGCCATGGAGTGCTCCTGATTGGACAGGCGGCCCTCCAGGAACCCCAACCTGTTCCCAAGACAAGAGGACACTGGGAGGCCAGTGCGAGTTGACTAAACACAGTCCTGTTTCTGTATCTAATACTGACCGCAAAATATCTTACATTAATTCAAAAGTACATTGCTCTGTCAACAACATCACCTTTAAAACTTCATTCACTTTGGTACTATTAATTACTAATGACTATTAATTAGAGGTTAACCAGATTATTCATACATCAATTGTATGGGACACTTACTGTTTTTAAATTATTGCAAAGCTATAAAGTTTTGTCTTTGAGGCTGCTTTATATGATGCTGTCTGTGATTACACGTGTCTGATTCTATTCTTCTTCTTATGTATATTTAGAAAGCAAAAACAACAAGTGTAACAAATAGTAAATTCTAGTTGAACGTGAAAAACTCCAGACTCTTTATGAGTTCTGTGTCCTGAACAGAGCATTGTGCCGACTGTACTCTAGAAAAACTGTTTTTTGCAGCCACTTCAATACTGTCCCCAACGTCCCTACCTGTCCGGGTGGGGCTGATACACCTGCAGCACAGTTTCTCTTGACATCGTTTCTCCACCAGCACCTGCTGGAACACAGAGCTGCATCAGCTCTCAATGCTGCAACCGTCCCACTCGCAACCACAGCTCCGTCAGCCCCTCCCCTTAAGGACACTGCAGCCCTTTCCTTGTTTGTCTTTGCTTTTTTGCACCTGCCTCCGGTTCCAGCCCCCTTCCTGCAAAAGCCAGACGCTCCTGCCAATCTGGGCGGAGCTTTGGAAGATGGACGCCCGGAAGCCCGCCTACCAGCGAGTCCAGGAGTGGCCCGACGGTATCGGCTTCACAGCGGTATCCTGACCATCTGGGTCCGGGGCTGGGAGCGCCTGGCCCTGTTTCCCCTTTTTATTCCCCTGACCCTTCGCCGGATCCCGCTCCGGCTTTTAACTTTGTCTTGTCTCCGTCACGGATGGACCAACCGGCCCTGGGCATTTGCATTCCCATGGATTTTCTTACGGACTCCCCTTGGACACTTAGCCTGGACCACGCTCCCCCGAGCACCAGTGCACCGTCGACACGCCCCCCTGTTCTTCTACCAGCCCCGATCCTAGTCCTTTCTCCCCGTGTTTGGCTCATTCCCCTCCGGATTCTGCCGTCTGCACAGGGTCCTGAAAAACGCTTCGTGACACACAGCTCCCACTCCCACAGCTCCCACACCTACAGCTCCCACAGCTGCATTCCCACAGTCAGCTGCTCTGCACACTGCAGCTCGACCTGTAAATACAGTGTCTGTGGAGGGATGGGCCTGGGACTAACGTATAAGATTCAAGTGCTCCTCAGAAACAAGGGCAACAGCCTCATTATGCGCTGCTGAATCCATACATATCATACACACTCACAAGCCAGCCATCCCTTCAAACAGGCTGGACCACAGCTCCACACCTGCGGAGAGCCCAGCTCTCAGCTCCTGACCAGGACCGCCTGGAGCAGCTGAAGGTTCGGTGATCATCACAGGGATTTCAGAACTGATCTGCGTATTAACAGAGTGTTGCTTGATTTCGCAGACTGTTTTAACACGTGTGCATCTGTCATTTAAATGTTGAAAAACTTGCTAAAGGGGGGTCTGCTGGGTTGGATGGTCTTTATTTAGCTACCAAACAAGTAACAGACTATGGGCTGAATTCTTTGAGACCCTTCAGTTTTTTATGTTCTGTTTCCTGTAAACCATCATTAAGAACTTTACTACATATGAAAAAGTACAAATGCTTTTGCAATACAATCTTTGGAGCACTAAAACTTCAACAAATTAATATGTGAATCAATTAAATTGTTTTTTTTTTCCCAAAGCTGATATGACACATTTAAAGCTGTTTCTGGTGTGTGGTATGCATGCAGTGATCTAAGAGGAATTATTTGCCTTTCAGAACTGTCTCTGCTCAGGCTCCAGTGAGGTCAAAATCACTTTCATCTTACACCAAAGGTCAATGTAAGTGTGGGTTTTTAAACCAATAATTTTATCCTTGCATTTGTGTTTTCACCTCCTCGCTCTTAACCAGTGAGTCATCCATGTAAAAAAAAAAATCTTTCTTCGGTGAAAAACAGTAGACATTACGAATGAGGCCATCTGCATCAATTCAAAGAAGCTCTGATGCAGCATCTATATGATCCTGAAACAGTGAACTGGATTGACTGACCGAGATTTAAATGTGATTAAGACTTTAATCAAGTCACCACTCAATCATCCCCAGTTCTGGCTAAAGTGGCCCAGTGGTTTGAATCTTTAATCACAACTGATGCATTTCAGCCTGAGATTACAGCTGCCTGTCCTTCCCTGCTGAGCACGATGTCTGTACGGAGCTGCTGGGGATATGGCTCAAGAGTGCAGACCTTGAAGTCTTAGTCTTGAAATACTGTATGCACAGCAGAGCAGACTCCACATTCAATAACCTGATCACAACAACATAAGAACACTTAGAAATAAGAGTTCAGTCGGCCCATCTGGCCTGTTTGGTAGTTAGCCTTTAATCAGGAGTTCATCCAGCTGTTTCTTGAAAGACAACAGAGTGTTGGCTTCAACAACATGCCTGGGTAGTTTGTTCCACACTCCCACAACCTTTGTGTAAAGAAGTGCCTCAGTTTGAAATATACTTTGACTGGATGTCCCATAGTATGTATTTCACTGTTCATTTTTTAGTCCACTGGGTTGACTTCAGTGTCTTTAAGAATACTTGGATAATACTAATTTGAATACTCAGTAATATCTTTTCTATAGCATAGAGACCAAAACTGTACACAGTATTCTAAATGAGGACTTATTCATGCATTGAAGAGATGTAATATAATATCCCTTGATTAAAATTCTATGCTTTTGACTAGATAGCCTAGCATTTTGTTTGCCCTTTTAAATTGCTGTCCAACATTGTCCAGAAGATGTGATTGACTGGTCAGCATCAACATCACAGTCTTTTTATATTCTTGTGTTTGTAATCCATTTAATTTTCACCAGTCTTAATTTTCACAAAATAATATCTATCCTTAGTTCTAAAAATGCATTTAAAATTCACGCTTCAGTCTTATACTGTAGGCGCAGTCAAACATTTTTCTGAACTCAGAAATTGAAATTGGTTGAAAAAAAATGAAAATTAACTCATAAAATGAGTTCATCTGTTCTATTGGAATAGATAGCAAATTCACGTCTTGTCTTCCTTGACAGATGATCTTATTAAAGTGTTTGATTGTGTAACGGAAATGTCTCGGCAAGCATCCATTACATCCATGATTCCTGCCAGCAGTATCCGGGAAGTGCAGACACAAACATTAACAGTCTGTTAGACTGAAGTTTTATTTCCTTGCTTACTGGCTGCTGTTGGATCAGCTCTGTCATCAATGTTACATGGAGCTGTTCAAATGGATATGGGCAAGATGGCCTTGTTAGACAACACTGGGCTGTCGGACAGCATATCAAATCTGCTTCTGGTTTTCATTGAGAAATCATTGCATCCAAGACATCACAGCTTAGAAACAAGATTGTGATTCATCCACATTCTGGTGTAA